ACACCCAAAAATACAGTACCTCGTTAAGTGTCTTCGATTGATATTTTCACTTAATATCTCCATGCTTTTGTCAAAGCTAGAGTCCGAACAGGGTGGCATGCTTTTTCTCATTGATCTTAAACAGTGTCCACCGAAACATTTCATTTTGGTCGAGGAATACTCCTAGCAGGAGAAAGAAATAACATTTATATACACCACGTATGTTGAGCTGAGAAGGCAATTTTATCTCATTTAGGCAAGTTTTTTCTGTAACTCTTCTGAGTTACAGTGCAACTAACAGTACCTAAGTCTTGGACCACTTCAAGGTCTAGGCCAGGGACACATCTGCACTTGAGGTAACTGGGAGGCCACACCATCTGGAACCAGTTACTGATTACATTGAGGGTCTGAGAACATTTACAGAGGGATATAGTAGTAACGCAGTAGGTATGTGTGCACACATGTGGGGTCTAAATACCAGCAGCTGGAGCAGGACTCACCCAACCAGCCCCTGGGGACACCCAAGCATCAGGGACAGGTACAGACAGACTGAATGCCCGACACCATCTACCACAGGGGCCCATATTACATATATAAACTTATGTATGTGTGTGTATTATCCCACTAATGGGTTTTCACCCTGATCAACCAGAGAGGGAAGAAGGATCATTTGCACTCTCCATAGAGCTTCTAGATTCAGCTACTCCAAACATACAACAGTTTCAAGTAAGAACAACTTTTTAAGTCAGAGGCTGTACTTCTACATACATGATCACTTGTGAAATTCGACTCCCAGGTTGGGAGTGACTCTGGAAAGTTTAGCTTGCTTTAAGTCTTAAACTCTAAGTCTTGGGCCTCCCTGCCCTCTAGGGCTGTATCCCATGAAACCTTACTAAGCAGGTTCCTGAAGAGGCCAAAGTCTGCTCTCTTGAAGTCCAGGGCAGTGAGCTTGCTGCACGCTCTCCTCACTGTCCTGAGGATCTCGAATTCAACCATCTCATGATTGCTGCAACCAAGGCTGCCCTGGAGCATCACATTTCTAACCAGCCCTTCCCTGTTGGTGAGAATATTCCTTGGGAGCAACTTTAAAGGTTTTAACATCAGTTAAAAGATGATTGCAGTAATACATTTCACAAATCTCTGAGCCAAAGGCCAGACTGAAGGAAAAACAAACACTTTGAGAATGTCAGCACAGACATTAGGAAAAGCCCGGTATAGTGACCAGGGAAATCTTTCTATGTGCACTTACACACTTGTTCACTATTGTCATGTATTTTTAATGCAATGTTCACCATGTAATATCTGTGATATTTACTACCCTTTGTATGTATTTTTTACCTTAATCTTGGCTCAAATTAGGACACAGGCAAAGCAGTAACAGTGCATATTGCTAACTGTGATCGTCCTCCATTTGTAGGAAGGTATCCCAAGTCAGCAAGGTGGCAGACACCAAGAAGCAGCCAGCGAAGCAAGAGTAACTAACTCTTATCAACCCAACCAGGCTGAAAACACACACTTAAGAAGTAAACTCAGAAGCAGCAAATGGCTAAACAGCAAAGATAAGGCAGTTGGATTAAAGAGTTTTGTAAAGTATTTCAATTTTTGTAAGCATTTCATATTTTATTACTTTCCTCATCCTACAGACAGCAATTGGCAATTGTTTCTAAAAAGCCTCGGTACAAAAACTCTGTTCAGCTCTCTAATGTCTGAGGAAGTAACTCTGTGTTGAAGTACTACCAAAACAGATAAAGGTCCTTAGGCAATAAGGCTGTTAACTCTGATGCTGAGATCCCTACACAGATGGGTCATGAAGGCTTAGCCTGGAAAAACAGCAGTTTCCACTTTGCCCAGACAAAAGGGGCCCCAAATACAGGTCACACAAGAGCAATCTTGTTCACCTTAGGGACTTACACCAGGGTTATACACCTATAGACACACAGCTTTCAATGGGACACTGATCACTTTGTACCTGCCATGGAACTGCTTGGGACTGAAAACTTGGAAGAGAATAAACCCACAGATGTTGGCTTACCTCAGACTTCCGGCTGTATGGCCCTTAGTATGAGTGAAAGAAGCTGACTAAAGATAAACCCCTTGCTGGTATTAGAAAACTTCAAGAGCTGCCACTGCCAAGTCCTTGCACATTAACAAGACAGGAAAGAGGCATTAGGACCTGAACATGCAATTAGTATCATCATCATTTTATCATCTAGGGCACTTCTGTCTGTCTCTGCACTCTAGCAGAGCCTGACCATCGTACAAATGAGGTAAGAATGTGCCTCAAAGAATGGGAAAGGTCTGCAAAACGAAAAAAAACACAACCAAAACAAAACAAAAGATAGAAGAAAATAAAGAAACAAAAGAACAACCTCACAGTTTCACAATGAGGATTCTGCTTTGGTTTTCAGTGAAAAGTTTATAGCTAGCTTCCTCATTCTTCTTCTCCACACTGAGAGCACAAGCCAGCCACTTTACCTGCCTGGCTCTGCACAGCCTTTGTGTGCCCGTGTGCAAAAGGCAGCTGAATTCCCTGCAGCCTCTGACAACCCTTTCTAGGGTGGACTGCAAAAGCAAAGTGGTGACCTTTAAGCAGATTCCATGTCAAAAAAAAAAAAAAAAACAACAAACCAAGCTAGGACCTAAGGGTTTCTTCCTTATTAGCTCAGTATCACTGAAAATAATGAGAATCCACACAACTGAAACTCCCAAGAGTTCTGCTGGAAGGAAAAAGACTCCATTACAAGCACCACTCCAAGGCAGGGCTTCAGTAAAGAGCAGACCTCTTCCAAGTTAGATCTGGCCTGCCTTTATTTGTTATGGGAAGGCAGGACACCCTGAGGAGAAGAGCCCCATTTGGAAAGAGCCCCTCTATTCGGCTCTCATGAGACCCCACTTGGAGCACTGTGCAGTTCGGGTGTCCTCAACATAAACAGGCCATGGAGCTGTTGGAGCAAGTCCAGAGAAGGCTGCAAGGATGATCAGAGGACTGGAGCACCTCCCATAGGAAGACAGGCTGAGAAAGTTGGGGCTGTTCAGACTGGAAAAGAGACCTCACATCAGCCTTCCAGTATCTGCAGGGGGCCTACAAGGACGCTGGAGAGGGACTCCTCATCAGGGCCTATAGCAATAGGACAAGGAATAACGGGTTTAAACTTAAGCAGGGGAAGTTCAGGTTAGATATAAGGAAGAAGTTCTTTACTGTGAGGGCAGTGAGGCACTGGAATGGATTGCCCAAGAAAGCTGTGAATGCTCCATCCCTGGCAGTGTTCAAGGCCAGGTTGGACAGAGCCTTGGGTGGCATGGTTTGGTGTGAGATGTCCCTGCCCATGGCAGGGGGGTGGAACTGGATGATCTTAAGGTCCATTCCAACCCTGACTATTCTGTGATTAAAACCAATGAACTTCTTAAAGTGAAATGGTTCAGTTACTAAAGTAGCAACATGGAGATGCAGACAGCATGGGCTACTTCACAACCCTCATAATCACATAATGTGTCTCTTCCACTGGGATAGATTAAAATTATCAAAAGCTCAAGTAACGTTTTCACCACTTCAGGTTACTCACATAAGTGCTTTAATTAAGTCTAAAGTAGTCCTGATCTCTAACCAAAGCTTTGTTTATAAAGCTTCCAAAGTAGCACCGATAGAACCCTGACTAAAGAGTATTTCACGGGCACTTCAGGCCAACTGGAACACGATTGTAGGTCCCGTGTATTCTGTGTTGAGCGCTGGTTTTGATGCATTTTTGTCACCAGAGCAGCGAGCTCTCCCTGTGAGCATTGCCACAACTACAGCACAGCCGTCTCGCGGGTTTTCCGAAGACAATTCTTTAGGTAACAAATTATATCCAAACACGCAGGCAGAGGCAACAGAGATACATGCCAAACCTCAATACCATGGGCAGCTCACCCGGGCAGGGCCGCCCGGGGCGCTCTCCCTGCCCTGTCACCGCTCCCTGGAACAGCGGTCGTGCCAAGACCCCTGACACCTCTGGGGCAGAGGAACGGTGGGGACGGACCCGGCCGGCTGCGGAGAGCGGGTACGGAGACGACGACACCAGCTGTTTCCGCACACACGGCAACACAACCGGCCCCAGCCGCAGGTAACACAACCGGTGTGACACGATGAGCCATAGCTGCAGGGAACACAGTCAGCCGTAGCTGTAGGGAACACAATCAGCCGTAGCCGTAGGTGATACAAGCGGCCGCAGCTACGGGCTCTCACGCTAAATCCCCCCTCCTCCTGTTTTTCCCTCCACATGACGCCGACCTCCGGTGCTTTCGCGAGGGGACGCGGCTTCCCCAGCTCCTCCCAACAGCTCCCAGAGGCTCATGGTCGGTACCGGCAAACACCTACCCGGGCCCACAGCCCACCAGGCGGAGCCTTACCCGGTTACTCACGTCCTCGCCGGCCCTCCTGGTCCCCCTGGATCCCGCGGCCCTGGTGGTGACCGCGGAGGCCCCGGACCGCGTCCAGATGCGGCGGCTGCTGAGGGAGGGGGGCTCCAAGGAGATGAACTCAGAGCTGGAGTCCAAGAGGTCGAAAGAGGCGCGGCGGCGCCGGCTATCGCGGGCCACTGGCCCGGGCGGGCGGGCACTGCTGCTCCTGAGGACCACCATGGCCGAGCGGGCACCCTCCTGCCTCTACCGCTGCAGCCCGCCCGCGCGCGGCCCTCGCCGGCCCCGCCTCCCTTCGGATCCCGCCGCCTCACCCTTCCCGCCGCTCTCTGCCTGCTGCTGCTTCTCCGCCCCAGCAGCTAGTCCCGGCGCGGCTGGCGGAAGGACACAGCGCAGCCATACGCCAATTTAAGTTTTTTGGCGCGTAAAAGTTGATGCGAGTTGTTTTGCCCGCCCGGGATTGGCCCGGTGGCCGCTTCCCGCCGGTAGGGGGCGGGGCCTCTGCTTAAAGGGGCCGCTCTTCCCGCAAGCAGCGGCCGGCGGTCTCTTGTCGTTCTGCGGCCCGCTTGAGGGACCGCCGGGGTACAGGGGCCGCGGTGCCCGGGGAACGCCTGAGGTGGAGCTGCCGCGCTGCCGCGTCCCCTCAGTGAAGCCGTAGCTGGTGGCGCCCGTCGCTCCCCGCGCTTCCTTCGCCGCTTTTACACCCCGCCGAGGCCGGCCATGGCACGGCCCGCGGCTGCCTACGAACCGGCAGTGCCGGCCCGCCCCGCCTGCGCCTACACCAGTTGCTACTGGTAAGGGCGGCCAGCAGCCGTGCGAGGGGCGGGTGGGAGTTGGGTGGTGGCGTCCGCACCCGCTGAGGCGGGACCCTGTCCGCACCTTGATTGTTTAAACAGAAATAATCAATTCTTGTGTTTTGCAGTGAAGAAAACGTTTGGAAGCTTTGTGAGTACATCAGGAGTCAGGACCAGTACCCATTAGAAGAGTTCTATGCTGTTTTCATATCCAATGATAGGAGGATGGTGAGTCAATGGGGTGTGATGGGGATGCAGCTATGGAGAGGGTCAGGTCTTCAGACTGCTGCCCCTTGTAGGTGAGACGCAGTCCAGGGCTTAAGACTACAGCCTGGCATAGGTAAATGTGGTCCCAGGCATTTTAACCACAGCCTGGCATAGGTAAGAGATGCTCAAAGGTCTCTAGCCTGTAGCCCAACCTGTAAGACATGGTCCAAAACCCTTCTGTAGCTCACTTTGTCTCAGATACCTGAAATCATACCTTGTCAGATCTGTTATTGGCTGCACTCAGGACAGTGGAGAAGCCGCAATGCCCCTATGAGCATTCTTCCCTGTGATCTGTCAATCTGGGAGGATGATGATGTTATCTGGAATGGTATCTCCAACTTCATGCTCTTGGGAGATAGAAATGAGAGAAACCTTTCTGACTGTGGAAGTGGATAGGTTAGCAAAGAACAAACCAATTAACCCAAAGGGAATCCATATTTAATTGAAAGGTTTTATTCACTTTAGATTTATTTACCTGCAACTTTCAGATTCCACTGTGGAAGCAGAAATCGGGACATGGAGATGAGCCTGTTGTCTGGGTAAGGCATTCTGTCCCCTCAGTGATTTTGAGTATGTGCTTCTGTAGTGGATAGCTGCAGGATCAGACATGGGCAATGTCTTTACTGCAGCAGACTGTTCCATCTGAACATAAAGAAACATGTTGTTCTACAGCGAGGGTGATGGAGCACTGGAGCAGGTTGCTCAGGGAGGTTGTGGTATCTCCATCCTTGGAGATATTTAGAAGCCATCTGGACACAGTCCTGGTCAGCTGGCTTTAGGTGTCCCTGCTTGAGCAGCAGCTTGGACCCAGGTGACCTCCAGAGGTCCCTTCTAACCTCAGCCGTTCTCTAACTTTGTATAATATGTATTCTTTTACAACAGATTTATAAAAAGCCTAAATCTGGTGCTGCTTTTTACCATTCATAACAAATCAACAGCAAGACAGTAAAATCTATAGGTGATAAACCTTAACATTGGTAAGATTATTATCTGAGATTATTGTTGAGGCTACCAGCTTTTTAGGATTTGAAGTAGATGTTTGTACTTGTGCAAAGTAGATGAATGAAAATATCCATATAGGCCTGATAGAGGATAGAAAAATAAGCAATGCATGTATTCAGGTGTCAGCAACTAAATTGACCCGTTAATGGTGGCTTTGGAATGTCATTTAATCAATTAATGTCATTCAGTAATTGCCACTACAGAATTCCTTTTAAATACATATGATCAGAGTCCTTTCAGTCACCTGGAACAAACTGTTTCTTGTGGCAATTTCCCCCCCTGAAATTGTGCAAAATAATCTGCAAACTGAAGTTCTGTGTTTTCTGAATCACTTATTCTCTCCCAAGATACTGTGCTTCATAGCACAAAAAAGATTTCATTTAAGGAAATCAAAGTCTTACAGAGATGATGTCAAAACGAGTAAGAGAGTCAGGAAAGGCCACTGCAGAAGGTGGATGTCTCATGGATTGAAAGGTGTTTTAACTTGGATGTTTCAGTGGATCATAGGATATGTAAAGTTAATTTTACTTATATTCTGTAACAGCTGCTTCTAAATATCATTGCATACATTACATATATATGTATATATATACACACATATATATGTGTATATACACATTACATATATATATGTAATGTATAGACACACACATAGAAAGAAATTCTTTACCATAAGGGTGGTGAGGCACTGGAATGGGTTGCCCAGGGAGGTTGTGAATGCTCCATCCCTGGCAGTGTTCAAGGCCAGGTTGGACAGAGCCTTGGGTGACATGGTTTAGTGTGAGGTGTCCCTGCCCATGGCAGGGGGGTTGGAACTTGATGATCTTAAGGTCCTTTCCAAACCTAACTATTCTATGATTTTATATATATATATATATATATATATATATATATATATACACACACGTACATATAGTGGTCTGGCAAAGTAGCTTGCCCAAATGTTTGTCTTCCCAGTCCCTTTGTGGTTCTGTTTAATCTTGAAAGTGCCAAAAGCCAGTGCTTCAAACTCTTTTTGTGAGTGGCTTTAATGTAAGCTTTAGTAAGCTGTTAACGGCTACCTTCAGTTTAATTTTGGAACACAGCAGTGTATGTACCTAACAGCTAACTAAGTAGCTGCAGTGTCTCCAAACCTCCACCACAACCTTGTATGTTTCTTATGACTTAAGGAATAAAACTGCATCTCACAACCTAAGTGACAAGACAAAATGGTTACTTTGAAAAATTAGGGTACAGATGTTTCTGCCCAGCTACAAGAGCTGCTATGGGCATGTCTTTCTCGGCGGTCCTCTTCATGTGAGCCATCTGCTGCCTTTTCAGTTGCATGCTGTTTTTTCGGGTGCTTCTGGCAGCTGAACACTGCACTCAAGTTCAAATTACAGGAACAGGTACAAGTCTCTTATTAGAAGAGATCACTAAATAATTTTAGTCTTAAACTGTCATCTATCATTGTGAGCATTTATTTAGGGCGGGGTCCAAGCTAAAAATACTTATCCCACTCAACTTTTGTGGTTTTTTGCAGGACATGGAAAAGATTTGCTGTTTCTTAGGAGTAATGTACATGTTAGATAAGCCCCAAAGGAGCCTGTAAAGGAGTGGATGGAATAGCAAGCCTTCTTGAAAGGCACAATGGGCCAGACAGGTGTTGGGAAAACGCCTGGTGCCAGAAATGTTACAGGCTTAATAGTTCAAGGGCAGTAAGCAGGATTTAAAGAAAGGGTCTGTAGCTTCTGCTTTTAGGAAGCATTTTTCTCCCCCCTCCCTTTGCCAGTTTCTCATTAAAGCTGTTTAACTCATGGCAATTACCCATTTTCCCAGGACTACCATGTCATTCTACTTCACGTTTCCAGCGGGGAGCAGAACTTCATTTATGATCTCGACACACTGTTGCCGTTCCCATGTCCCTTTGACATGTACAGTGTGGAGGCCTTTAGGTTGGATGATGGCCTTCGTCCAGAATTTCACAGGTGATGACATAAAACATAAAGACCATGAATGTTACTTCGTGAAATTAAAGCTGAAGTTCTCTTTGTGGATGTGTAGTGACAAAGGGCTTTGTGCTATACCCCAGTAGAACATATGCACTATGTTATTTTTCTAAAGCTCTTTACTTTAGTCATCAAACTCCCTTTTCTTTCTTTTCTGCTTGTTAACTTCTTGCCACAATATTTGTGATTTATGTGTTTCATGAAAGGAATGTTCCTTGGTGGGATGAAAGAGCTGTTGTGAGTGAGTGAGTGATGCAGTATTGTATCCATGCATCTTCTGATACGGTTTTGCATTATTATTTAGGAAAATCCGAATGATTCGAGCAGATTTGTACTTGAGGACTTTTGCTTCAGACAGATCTCATATGAAAGATGCAAATGGAAAATGGCACAAACCTCCTCCTTCATACCCTTGTATTGAAACGGCAGGTAAGCTGCCAGAGCTCATTTTTCCTGCTTACAGTGGTGAATGACATAGTCCAAGATGCACGCAAGAAATAGATACCCTTCCATAATGTGTGTCTGGAAGCACATCCAGATAGCTCAGTATTTCATATGTCTGTGAAGCATTTAACACTTCCTTTTCTGAACATGTACAGTCTAGCATGCCTCCTGGCAGCTACCATTATCAAACATTAATTACTCATTAATCTTCAAAAGCTGAGCAGAGAACAGGAGGTAAGTAGTGTTGTTAGAATCGTAGAACAGTTAGGGTTGGAAAGGACCTTAAGATCATCCAGTTCCAACCCCCTGCCATGGGCAGGGACACCTCACACTAAACCATGTCACCCGAGGCTCTGTGCTGTTCTCTTGTTACAGCAGGGAACTGAAGCAAAGAGGCCAAATAACTTGCCTAGGGGGTCACAAAGTGAATTTTTAACATGCTTATTATACCACACTTCAGCTGGCAAGTCCCATCCTGCCAGAGCAAGTCTCTACCAGGTGAATTGGACCTGGGGACACTTTAAAGCAAACTGGCAAATCAGCAAATTTTCCCCCAAGCCTTAAGCCTCTTTTAAGTGTTATTCTACATAATAGCCTCTGGGCCAAGCAGAGAAAGTAAAGGCTTGCTGTCTCCTCTGTAGAGCTGCATAAACCATTCTTATCACACAGCACTTCAGCTTATTCTAATCATGTGCTTGGCAAGCTGGCTAACATCTGCCATGTGTTTGTTTGTTCTCTGGTTTTCCTCCCAGCTGAAGAAGGGCATGGTAAAGTAGTGCATTAAGGGTGTATTCATGTTACTACTCTGCATGTTTGGTTTTGTTGCTTTATTAATAATGCAGCACTGCTGTGTGTTTATATTAGAGAAGGCAGGGTCAAAGAAACATCTTTTGTGTTTAAGTCCAAGTTGTGTTGTGCACTGGAGTAGAATGAATCATGAATGTGGGTAGGAGCACCGCTCTAGTTTTCATTGTGAAGCTTTAGGTATTTCTAGACAATTCGGGTTATGAAGCACCTTAAATTCTGTGTCTTGGTCCTTACCTCCAACAAAGTTTTCAACAAAGGTACTGTAGCAGGTGGAGAATGCCTGAACTGCAGTTCACAGTTCCCTGTTAGCTGGAGCCTCCCAGGCACTGGCGGCTTTTTGCCTGTGGAAACCTTCTTGTTGTGACAGTTAAGAGCTAATGAAAGTGTGAGGAATATAGATCGGGCCAGACCAGGAAGGTGGAATAGTTCTATTAGAATGAAAAGAGTAGAAGGCACTACTCACAGATAGTAAGTTACAGAATGACCCAGCCTATTGCAGTTGTGGGCATGTACCTCTAGCTCTAGTAAATGACTCCATAGCTGCAGATCCTGTAACTCTCCCCTTATCTGTCTTGTTTGGCTGAGCTTATCTCACTGGTGAGCAGCACCCTTAGCTGACAAGTGGCCTTAATCAACCTCCAGATTGCCTCTGTGATGTGGTAGATAGTGAAAGATACATAAGTCTTTGCTCCTCTAATGCTTTATTTCTTTACTCTGTAACTTGCCATGCTGGAAGAAACATCCATAGGACATCCAGTCTAACACCTGCTCAAAACAGGGGTTCCTTAGGGCTCTGTCCCAAGTCTAGTCTTTAACACCTCCAGGGATGGAGATTCCACCACCTTCCTGGGCAATCTGTCCCAACATTTGACCACTGTCATGGTAAAATATATAAACAACATTTTCCTGTTTTCATGTAATCAGAATTTCCCATATTCCAACTTGCTTTTTTGCTTCTTGTCCTGTCACCAGGCTCCTCAAGGCAGCTCTGGCTCCATCGTCGTGTCCTCTGATCAGGTAGATGTAGACAGCAGTAAGGTCTCCCCTTCATCTCTGTTTAAGACTGAACAGACCCAGTTTCTCACAGCTTTTCCTTGAATATCATGTTCTCCCACCCTGAACAACTTGATGTTCCTCTTCTGGCTCACTCCAGTATGTCACTGTTTTGTTTTTTTTCCTGTACCGGAGAGCTCCAGACTGGATACAGTATTCCAGCTCTGTGCTGATGCACTCTGGTCTCCTGGTCAGTTACTTGGCCAAAAGTGGTAACCCTTGTACACACTGAAGGTGGAAGATCGTTCATTAGGTAACTTCAAGTTCTGGGCAAGAACAGGAATAGATCTAGGGTGCCTCAAGTTGTGTTTCATTCACTACCAGTTTCTCCAGCTTAATTTTGTCTTCCCAGTGTTAATGTAAGGTACGACGATATGTGCTTCAGTGTGCCCAGTCAGTGAGGGATCTGGGTTTAATAGTTGTGGAACAAGCATTTACTTTAACCTTTACCTGAATCTAAGCCCTGGGTGTCTGTAGATGAGCCTGTGTCCTGTAGGCCAACATACAGGTTTTAAAGGCATTGCTCTCAACAAGTGGAACTGGTAATGTTTTCACATTAGAGACTGGTAATGTCTCAGCATGGTTTTATCAGGCATGAAAGTTACTTATTTTAACCTTGATGGAAGACTGGGTGCCAAACCTATTTTTTTTATCATAAAAGAGCCTGGGGTATTAGTGTTCATGCCCATGCCAAATTCCATGGCAGATAACTGTTTTCTCCCTGCCGTCTCACTTAGATAGAGTACTCTGCTTTCCCTCATAATTTGTGTTTGCATAAGATTAAACTGCTTTCAATTACAGCAAATATTTGAAGACTGGAAAAATACAACAAAAATATATTAGTCCTTCTTTTAATGCATGAGCATTGTGCTGTTAAAAATAAACGTGCCCATGAGCTCTTGGTGTTTAAAGACAATTGGCACTCTGGTACTATTCTGTTGATGTACTTTGCTGTGTGTTAAAGCATATTAGTTACATTTATATCACTGCCACTCTTTTCCCACTGGGTTTTAAAGCTTTTAGTTAACTTAAAAGACAAGAACGTTGCTAAAATATCGCCTCTTGCAGAGCAGAGCAGCTGCTAAGCCTGAATATAGCACTTTGGAAAAGGAAATTCTGTAGTATCAAAGTCAAGTGTAAATTATATAGGACCATTGGTAGGATAATGTAATTACCCAGTGTGGAGCTAGGACAGCATCTGGGGCCAGTGATCCTTTTTTATGGTGTATACCAGGAAATGTTTGACCATGAAATTCCTTTTGGAATTAAATCAAGGAATCTCTATCAGTCACCAATTCAGCTTTTTTTTTAAAACTATGACTAACTCAAAAGGAATAATTCTTCAGCTGCCTTTGCGCTGCTTGTGGTGTTGCAAAATAAACCTTCTAAAATAAGTCATCCATCCCAATCCATGCTTAAAAACATTGAAGCTGGAATTAGGTGGCTTTTTAAAGCATTATTTTTCAAAAAGCAAACAATCCCAAGCTACATAACTAAAAACTCCTCAGTATGTCATCAGAACTCGCATGCTAAGCATTAGCCTTTTGGAACTGGCTCTGCTCTAGCTGGTTCCTAGTGCCAGGCCTCTGCGTTTCTTACCGGCCTCTACTCTGCTGCTGTGAGTGCCAGGAGAAGCTGGCCAACTTACCTGGGTGCATGGTGCTTTCTCACACAGCCCTATCCTCTGCTGGAATAAGCATACCTGAGCTGCAGCAGAATAGGTTGCCAGTGGTCTCCTATTTGAAGAAGAAAACCAGGTCCAATCTGATACTTCGTTCAAATACAAAACCAAAGAAGATGCAATTTGGTGCACAGATTCATTGTTCCAGGGCTGGCGAGCACAGCCTGGGGTTTTCTTTTAAGTCTTCTTTCCACACATTAATGAGGTCTGATTCTGCTTAGTTTTGAGTCCTGATGAGATCAGCCCTCCTTATTGCAAGCCTGTGTAGAATACAGCTTGCAAGGTGTGTTTCAGAGTTACCTGGAACAGATGGTCTTATGGCTTAACTGTTAGCATCAGCTCTAGCACTGAAAAGCACTGGTTTGGATTTCAGATCTCCTCAGGTGTTTGGTAGCACACTGGCAGGATTGATTTGTAAAGGCTTTTTGTTCTTTTTATTCTTATTAAAATCCCTGGTGGCCATAAATGATGGGGTTTCACTTGTTTGGGGTTTGTTTTGTTTTGAAGACCATGAGTAGTACAGCTGAGAAATTATGGAAGCACTGTGTATGACATCTATGGAACAGGCAAGCTGCTAGACAGAGGCCAGGCAGATGCTTTTCTGTCCTAGTGGAAGCAAAAAGCAGGCACCAGTACAGATGTAAGTAGCCCATATGTGTTTCATAGGAGCCCTTCTGTTCTTGTTTGAGAATAAAACACCAATCTGTCAGGTTAAGTTCTTATTTCATGAGCTTTTGTGGAAGAATCAAGTCAGGGTAAAGGCAATAAAGGTACAATTAAGGATAGAAGTATCTAAATTCTGTGAAAGACTTACTGAAATTACAACAGTTTCTGTGAAAGATCATGACCTTTTGTTTTACACTGAGACAGACCAGGATGTTTTGCAGTCAGTTGTGTCTTGGCTGTGGGACCAATGCCCTCCAGCTGAGTGTGGTAAAAGCCTGCAAAAAGATTCCTCTACCTATTCCTGCAAGGAAGGGGGATCTGAAGAGATCTAAAGATATCTGTACAAGTCTAAAGAACCCAATCTTAGTGACACAGTTTAGTAGTGGCCTTGGGAGTGCTGGGGAGCAGTTGGACTTTATGATCTTAAAGGTCTTTTCCCAACCTATTTGATTCTGTGTTTCTGTTTCAGGTGCCCCCAAGGTTAGGCAGCAGCAGAACTGACCTCGGAGGCTTTGTTTCAGACTTGCTCACTTCCAGCAGCCCTTCGGTACTGCCGTTACGCAGAGTTAGTCCAAGGTCTGTGAGCCAAGCTGAGGCTTGGCTGAACTGTTGCTCTCTAACTACTGCTGGCAGCAGGCACAAGTAGCCTGGCTAGCAGTGCCATCTGCTAGTGTGCAGCCTTTTAGTTCATCCCTGCTCAGGGCAAAAGTGTCAGACTTGATTAAAAAAAAAATGAAGTGATGCAAGAATCCCCAAATGCAGCAGCTAGAGCTCATAG